CCTATTAATATCTAATAATACAAATAATAAAATGCAATAACGTGCTTTAACCAGTAGGTGTCCCTTTCTATCAGCTGTGCACCGTTATGGTGTAAATACAGCCTATCTACCAATTGGATCAAATATAAAAGTCAGCCGAATTAGTGTTGATACTGCAAGGAGACGTATTGTGTGAAAATAAATCTAAGATGTTGTTTAACTGCTGATATATTTATGATCGGGGAGGTGTGTGGCGCAGTGGAATAGTGCGTTGGTGTTCGGATCAGGGGAGCACAGGTTCAAACCCCACTGCAGTCAGCATGTCGTTGTGTCCCTGGGCAAGACACTTCACCCCAAATTGCTCCTGTGGGGATTGCCCACAGTATTGAGTATGTAAGTCGCTTTGGATAAAAGCGTCTAACAAGTGACATGTAATGTAATGATCCACGTCACGTTTTCAGTTTTGGCGGCAGTTCTTCTTGTTTTCAGATAATAAACACCATTTCCCAACGTGCATTACGGCTAAACCGTCCAATCACCGAGCTGAGGATCTTGCATACGTCTGTTTCCGGTGTTTATGACGATGTGATGTGAGATGTGAGACTGGGTTGGAGAATTGCACAGGGGAAAATAACGTATCTATGCCGCGGATTTTGTTAAACTAAAGGCCCTTACACACCAGGCCGATATCGGCCGTCTTGGGTTGTCTGGCGACAACGCGTTCCTTGTCGCCTAAAGTCAATTTGGTGTGTCCCGAACCCTCGGCCGTGACACGCCTTATTTGGCCTTTCGCGGTTGACACAAGCTATCGGGCCAAGAAACCACTCTGATCAGCTGTTCAGCTAGCAAATGAGAAGCGAAACGGAAGTGAGGGACGTAAACAAACGATTTAAGGCACAGGACAGCAGCTAAACACCAGCAGGTGATACTTAAAGACATCAAACATAGCCCTTAAATGTCCTCTCTTACCTCCCACACATAGCAGGGACATCTCTGATATCGGCGGGAGCGTCCCCGGCTGTCCTCTGCTGAGAGCTCCGTGATTTGTTTGGTCAAGTCCGGTTTTTCATCTCATCGTAAATTTAGCAAGAAGTGGCCATTATTACATTGCTGACTCAATAAACTACACACCCGCCAGAACACTGCGATCATCAGATGCAGGTCTATTAACTGTGATTTTATAGTATGTCTGCACTTTATGTGCTCATTTCATCATTCATGTATTTTTATATTCTAAAACATGTTTTCGATGGACGAAAGTGAAAATGGAACGCACACGCTATTTGTTTGTTTATATCAGTCTGTTCTTCTTCTCTGTCTTCCGGTTGTTGCCTATTTTGAATGACGAATACACACTACCGCCGCCTGCTGGTAAGGAGAGTTATTGCCACTCACGCATGCGCAGTTCGTACGTGCTCGGCTGAAGTCTTTGCGGTGATTTCCAGTGCGACACACAGCCAAGACGCAGGAGAACTCGTCGATGGAACTGTCGGTGTCGGGTGTCGGCGAGTTCTCTGGTGACTGCCTGGTGTGTCAGGGCCTTAATACGTTTGCGCTGTGGACCAACACTATAAATTGACAGGGAAGGGGGTAGCAATAAAGATAACACCATTAAACAGTTACACAACATAACAGACATAATATCGATAGCAGCGTCCCTAGCAACCACCTTGGTAACAATGAAAACGTTGTATTTACACAATTTCCTGAAGTATTCTTCGTAATAACTAGCAAACTAAAGATCATGTACATCCACTGCACACATAATCTGAAATAACAACTCATATGTCTCGCATCAAATGACATCAAAACGCATTTTAATGGCCAAACTAACCTTAAAATAGGCATTTTCTACCGAGAATATAACAAAGGTCGGCCATGTTTTTTTATTTCTGCGGAGAGAAAGTTGAAGATCACGTGACATAGACGCCAGCCATTGGAAATGAATGGTGAAAAAAAACGTAGGGATCCTACAATTTCAGAGGCGTTTTTGTAGAAATACTACGTCCCAAGTTGTGGACCAACGTAGTTATTACACGTTTAGATGTGAGACTGGGTTGGGTTGTCTGGGTGCATTCACTAGGGGCATCTTGTCTTGCATCATCATACGTTGATCTGCACCATTGTTCTTATTCCCAGTTCTGACCCATACCAACTTTTCAAAAAATGTAATCCCATTCTCTCCTCACACTGAAAAATCCAGACCACTGTACCCCGACTTCTCTTTCTTTCTGTATGTGTATCGTGCATCACATTTTCTGTTTCACGGCCAATACATCTTGCACTAAGGGGATGGGGTGAGAAGTTAAGACAGAGTACAAAACCTGCTCCTTTGCACTGGAAGGCAGTTGAAATGTTTTGGCATCTGGTTGGAAAGTCTCCTGATTGCCTCCTTGTGGAGCTGGTCCAGGTGAGGCTGTATATAACCTCTCCCCCTCATAATACCCTTTCGCTTGAAGCTATTTCTGCACAGATTAGATAACAGAGTTGTTATTTATATTGCCACGGAGAGGACAGGAGATTGGGGTGACTAATGCCCCTTTCACACCAACGCGGTTCCAGGGCCGGTTCGGAGCTGGAGCTTGAAAAGCACAGTTTTTTCCTGTTCACACCGCATCGGAGCCGCCTCTAAGCTCCGGAATCCGGTTCGTTTCAAGCACCAAAAAGTTGTCGTCTAGAAAGCAAGCACCGCATACGTCACGCTTACGTCGGAGGCGGGGGAAGGGGCGGCATCCGCTTGGCTTTATGAAGCAGGCACGCAAACGGTTACGGGTGCTAGTGGACCCTCGCAGATGGGGGTGCTGCAGCCCCCTCAGCATCCCCCCCTTCCCGCGTCCATTCGCGATGTCTCGCTGTCTCACAGACCCCACGCAGCAAGCAGGAAATGAACCCAGCTCACACTGTCCGCTCCTCGCAGCAGCACCCAGACCCCACGCAGCATTCTCATCTGTTTGTCATTACTGGTGTCATGTTCTGGTTGCTAACGCCATTGTAACACATAATCACTGATGTTCCGCTGTAACGGTGGTAGACTCATCAGAACAGAGTGGGTGAGCTGACCAATCAGTGCACAGTGGGCTCAGGAGCTCCAACAAGCCATTAGGACAGAGAGTGAATACACATACTATACAGAGATGCTGTATGAGAAACCAATGTGAGTTTGGAAAATTGCACAATACAAATATATTCTAGTATACCTCAACAATGGAATTATGATCAGTAGAAATGGCCAGGACCTTTAAATCCTCACCGTGGACCAATGTAAATCTATTAAAGGGGAGACAGGAACTATCTCTAGGTTAGTGTAGAACTTAATGAAACTGAATTGAATTGTTCCGAGATCAATGCTAAGCTGTCAAAAATCAGCAGAATGAAACATGAATTTCATTATAAGCTCTGGCTTTTTCCCCCTCAGTGTTTGCGCGTCTGCCGTTTTCATTTGTGCAGAACAATTTCCCCTCTTTACTCTGTGGCATTTTCTTCCTCGGAGAAGGTGAGAGAGGGTACAACTGAGATGCTGCCTGTCTGTCAGTTCTTTGTGGGGAAGATGTCTCCCAGAGAGCAGCTTTATGCGCTGCCGGCTGCCATGATTAACGTATTTACAGGGATATAAATGGCGAAAGGCGGAGAGCCGGACTGGGAGAAAAAAAAATCAGACGAGCACTCATCGAAACTCGATGAATCAGATAATGGGATAAGCTGCACACAGAATGAACATGCGTATTAAGCATCCATTGTCAGGATCAGTGCGTGGAGCGAGGCAGGGTCGATGGAGTTGATCCCGGTTTAATTCAGCTGTCAAGGAACGTTTGAATTCCCACACATGACTGTTGGGGAAGTGAAATGTGGCACACAGTGATTCATGTTGGGTGAGATTTGTGTTTTGTTTGAGCGGATTTTACGTTTCAGCCAACATGCTCGAGTCGTGGCGGTCTAATCCGTCTGGTGGGGCTTTACGGAGGGTTTTCCAGCCGTCGTTAATTAACCCAGAGGTCGATAGATATTGCAACTGTGAGCAATCGCAATTGTAACTCCCTTTGACTAGCACATCTTCAGAGGGTGTAGAGTGTGTGCTCCGAGTGTGTGCAGGACATTGTGTGCACGTCTCTGTATATTTGATCCTTCTTTTCCTTCCTACTGCTTCATTCTTTTTGATTAATGCTTTGATTGCCGGCACTGAGAGTCCCATTAAGCTGAAGTTCAAGAGTGTGTGTGTGTGTGTGATTCTGACAGTTTGAGCAGGAAGTATAATGTTTGTGTGCGTGCCTCCCTTTCATCTCCCATGCGTTGTCGCGACACTCTGCCCTCAGTGTGCCCGCCTCAGATGCCAGGCCATTTCACAACCTGCTTCAAAGAGCTTCTCACATTTCCAGTCGCTGCCTGTAATTTCTCTTTCGGATCTCAAGACCTCCACTGCAAATGGCCTCTAATTCTTTCTCTTGCCACCATTTCTACTATTTCGCAGCCTCTCTTCGGTGTTCTCAATTTTCTTTAACCATTTCATCTTTGTGTAATATCTGCAATTTACCATGGCATATGCAACTTCCTGTGTACTTGATTATTTATATTACCTAATACATTATATTTTCTTTGTACTCTTTGTACCGTATGGACGTTTGCCTGTAAACATAGGCACACAATTCCCCCTTCTTGGTTTACAGTAACTCCAATCAGTTCAAATGTCCTCTCTTTTTAACTTAATACGAACAAAGTTTCCCTCTCCCCCCTCATTTCTCTCCCACCTTCTGAATTTCATCATCTGTACCTCTTTTTGCATTTTCCTTCTTCTCATCTTCAGCTTTCTGTTTCTAGCCCCTTTTTCTCCCTCAGGGATCAAACACCTTGCTCTCATAACAAAGGGGGCAAGTAAGTCTTTTCTCTCTCCAAAGTCTTTTCTCTCTCCAAATTACTAATCTCTTGCTCACAAGTTGCTCCCTCTTTACTATGAAACTAAACCTGTTTATTCTCGTCTTTTTTCTCTCAGCTGCTCCTATTTTTGACCTTAATCTTTTCTCTTGCAGATGAGATTGATATGTTGGAGCGTCTCTGGCTGTCGGGTATCTGCCACAATGATAAGATCGAGGTATGACATACAATAAATGACCTCTGCGTTGTCCATCAACATGTAACAGCGTCAGCCTCTGAACTTTTTGACATACAACTAAATGTAATGCTGTTGTTACTGCTTACATATAACCAGACTCTATCATCATCATTCCCCTATATCATTAAAAAAAACTAACTTTGAAGGGATCATTTTTTAAGTATAGATTCTCTGCAGAGGATTTAACCTTATCAACATGTTATCCAGTTTTGGAATTCTTCTTCTTTATTACATATGTAATGACACTCTCATCTCCAGTAATTTTGTGATGTACAAATCAACAATACATATTTAGTAAGTGACTGCAAGATGGCTGCAGAAGAGAGCCATTAAGGTTAAAATGGATCAATGTAACTGTCTGAAAGGTTTTTGCCTGATATGAACCAGATATGTTGTGGTGACTGACATGTTTTGCCCATTGCATCAGAGTTCTGAGTGCAGGGGCTCTAAAATATCACAGATGGGTGCTCTGAAACACAATGACAGCTAACAAATCTGTGTTGTACTGGTGGTTATAATTCACTTTTTATCTGGCTATTCTCACCTTTTACAACATTTTCAATTCCGTTGCTCATCCTCCCGTCTTCCGTACCCCTCTCCAGGTCATGAGCAGTAAGCTGGACATAGACAACATGGCGGGAGTCTTCTACATGCTGCTGGTGGCCATGGGTCTGAGCCTCCTGGTATTTGCCTGGGAGCACATGGTGTACTGGAAACTACGGCACTGTGTGAAGCACTCCGGTGGGATGGACTTCCTCCTGGCTCTCAGCAGGGTGAGAAAAAAATGCAGATACCTCCCTTAAACCTCAACAACACTTCGCATCTTGGTTTATTGACTTGGCATGAAAAACACTTCAAAGATTAAAACATGTATTTCTTGATTTGAGGATCTTGGCAAGCTCAAGCGGCCTTATGCATGTAAATTACAATACAACACAATGTAATGTACTTAAAAAAAAACACATTAAGAAGATTGGTCCAAGAGTGGCAATATCTTATATTTTTACATTTAATAAAAAAGAATGCATCCAGCCACTGTTTAAAAACAATTGTGAAGTATTCATGATTATAGAATTGGGTGTCATCTGCATAACAAATTAAACCTATACCAAATGTAACTTATGGCAGCATAGGCAATCATAATGAAGTCAAGGAAAGAGCGTGAACATTTCTCTCCTAGGTAAAACCAAGATGTCTTTGTCTGATTGGTGGGAAGTATTTTACAAAAAACGAGCAAAAACACCCAAACACTAACAAATTAGTACATAAATACACGAGTACTTTCTCACAACCCTATGCCAGTTGTCATTGGAGTGGATCATAGGTTGCAGATTTCATAGTGGAACATACATCACTTTAAAGATACATCAATTTAAAAGCAGTCCTTTATGTTTGGATGTATCCTCAAGACGATTAATTAATACCTAGCACAAAGTGTAACAAGGAAAAAGTATGATTTATCTCCACCAAATGTAAACAATTCAGAAGACCTGCTAGGTGGTGAGAGAACTAAAGGAAGTGAATTCTAAGATGGGAGAGGTTTTACATTTTCATGTTGACCAGCATCTCAACTCACTGATTTGCAAATTCTCAACATGAGAGGGTAAAAGTTGTCAGTGAAATTCCTACAGATTTATAATTCAGAGCTTTGGAAGCATTGGTAAGCTATTAATGCAGGTGCAGGACGTATTATAGACCAGCAGGTGTAGAAGCTTTTAGGATCTCCTGTTCCCCGCATACTGTAGGATATTAGCCTTGAAGTCCACTTCATTAAGGAAATTAAATATATAGCAGGTCTCCCTTGAGAAAGAGATCGTTGATCTCAATATAGATGAAGCAAGCTTAATGAACAGTTTCCAGATACAATCAGGAAATGGATTGCAAAAAGGCATGTACCACTTAATACTGGTAGTTGTTTGTTGCACTCAGCAAGACAAAAGGAAGTAGAGCCAAAAACAATAACATCAATGTTGTTTGTATACGGCATCACGCCAAGGGTCCAGGGCAGGGTGATCACAGCTATTTTCTTTAAAAGCCAATGCAGCTTCTGTTAGTTCAGCCCTGTGTCCGGGTAATATAAAGTACAGGTCCTAGCTAGACCTTCAAAGTTCGATTTATTGTTTTATGTCCTATATGACTATGTTGCAATGTTGGAGGGACATACGATTTTCATTGGCATTTCTACACTGTAGCTACTGTGCATATGGCAATAAAGCCTTGAGTCTTGAATTGTGAAGAGAGGCCCTATAATGCTTTTGGGAATTTTCCCCTTCCTGTAGTGTGTTATATAGTTTTTTGTGCATGTAAATGGTCTGCAAAGGCTAAAATCCCAAAGTTCCCTCCAGAGGGAGTTTCTCTCCCACACACTCCCCCCCTGCCTGAAATGCATGAGTTTACTCCTTTGTTAAATTCCTTAACATAAGGACATCTCGATGTAACACTCGTGCTTCTATTGGCTAGTGTTTCAACACAATGCACGTGATAGGCTAAGGGGCGGGACAAGTGGTTGACCAATCACAACAGAGCCAGGCAGCTAACCCATAATGGCAGAATGGTCAAAAGAGGTGCTGCAGCACTGACAGTATGAGAAGAATAAAGCACTGTTTGAACATTAAGGCATGTAAACATGTCACAGTAGAGGCACAAAATACAAATATGAAACCTGAAAATGAAAGAACAGCAAGTTAATGAGATAAGATGGGATGTATTAACTAGAAAAATTAGAATAAGATAAGTTGAATTGGTAAGAGAGGGATGGGAAAATATAAATGCGCTGATTTGGGAGGGAAAATGAGAGGAGTGGGAAGGTAGGAGAGGAAAACTTTGATAATAAAATAGAAGACAGCCAGCCAAGAAGACAGCTGTTGGTTTGAATGGCTGAGGTAGCGAAATATAGCAGGTGCTGATGAGATGCCAGAAGGAATGACAGGGACAGAGAGGAGGAGGAGGACGGATGTGTGGTGGTGGGGACTGTTGAAGTGGACAACAGGCTGCATAGAAACATCGCCATATATTCTTGCTGGTTGTGGGGGGGGGGGATACACTTATGTTAGAATGACATCAAAAAAATATGATTTACTACCCCCCCTCGCTTTAAAAGCAGAGAAAGTTGCTAATTTATATACAGCGGAAGTGTTTCTTATTTGCACTATAAAGAGCAGGAAGAAGATATCTAATAAGTTCAAAGCATAGAAAATAAGAGAAGTACTCTAAATCTATAATTCTACCAGCAAAAAAGGAAATGTAATGCAGTTCGAACTAGGCTTCACAGTACATCAGCTAGATCAATATTTTGATTCTCATACAAACATGGACATGAATACATACTCAAACCCTGAAAGCCTGAATACCGCCAGATTCAGTCAGACATGGGTCCTATTGAAGACCAATAGGTCTTGTGCATTTACTGATGTATTGTAAGTGCCATTTACCAATAACACTGCAATGCTTTATTGATGGACGGATGTGAGTGAAAATCCACTATGTCCCCCTGTAGTCTCGATTTTCCCTGATGGGCTTCCTTATAGACCCTTTGGAGTGCAACTCTACCTCGTTCATTTAGAGCAGACTGGCATATTTTCTCGCATGAGCAAACTTTGATCTGTAGCATTCCTTATGCTAAGAATACAAACAGAAATTCAATGCAAAGGGCAATCCCAATAACTTCTTTCTCCCAAGCAATATGCTGTGCTTGCTTTAATTCCTCTGCAGCTGGCCTCTGTCGCCTGCTTTAACCCAATCAGTGACTCACCCAAGTTTCAATTTCACAGTGCGCTGCGCACCGTGCCCTGGGTACTGTGATAGCACTTCTGCTGCTGGGACTGCTGATTCATGTGTCCGGAAGGGCCATTATTACAGTCCCTCCATCAGATCTGTGTCCCGGCGGGGAATAGAGATTTACACGAGGCCCCACACATTTTGTCATTAAGATGTTACAGATATCGATAGATATTATGAATCATCTTTTCGTATGAAGAATAAAAGAGTGTTTGTGATTTACATGGCTCTCTACAGGACTGTTAAGTGAGTTTCATCTATCTAAAGTGAGGTGTAAATATTCAAAGGCAAGGGAGAAAGAGCATGTGGGCACAGTTGAGGTAGCGTTGCTCATCTGACACGATTGTATAATAGATTGATTCTGCTTGGGGTTTAAATTCTCAAGAGATATCATAAGGAGCGGGTAATTTACACTCTGCCTCTTTCATTTTATGTTTTATTCATATCAGACATTGTTCGATGTTGCTGTTGAGATGAGAAAGGATAGACTGGTTCTAGCCACGCATGTTTAGAGCAGTTTATTATGAGCAAGTAGGAACGATCTTATTTCAATTAAAGTGCCAACAAATAACAGCACAGAGACACATCAAAATGAGATGCTCTTTTTAGTTGCCACTTACTCATTAACGTTATGTAACTAGGGAACATTTTACTTTAGTTAAGTTTAATGAAAAATAAACAATTTAATCTTAATTTACGCAGTTGGAAGAAATATGAAGTTTTAAGTTGAGTAAGCAACCTGACAGAAACGCAATTTTCTTCCCAATTGTTTTGACTCCCCTCAAGAACCCGTAACAACTCCTTGACATGCCTCCCTCTACAATTACTTTTCACAATACTTTTTGAAAAACACAGTTACTTGTTCCAGCTGATTGAATTGTTGTTTGCTAAAACCTTTGTTTGGTTGGATAGTTTGAACATTGACAAACAAAGAAGCTGGGTAAACTAAGTCCAAAGTTTCTCCGAACTCATATGTATTGAAAATGTTCAGCACTCCCTGTATACCTTTAGAGGAGAAGTGGAGACAACCAGAAGTAGAGGGAAACTACCTTGAGCAATTTCCCAGAATGCTGTTAGACAGAATAAAGAGTATTTCTTATTTTAAAACTGCTGTCTGCTTTTATGAAATATGTTTTGCAGACAAAGTAACACAGTCAGTTATGGAATTAACTGAATAAATATAAAATAAATTAGGGTGGAGAGAAATAAATATATAAGTTGTAGCCCTGACAAGTCAAACCTATCTGGATGTGGACACGTCACTGGTTTTAAGGGATCCTTGGTGAGGTAATTATAGCAATTTAACAGATATTCTTTATCTGGAGGCTTTATCCATGCATGTTTTTAATCAGACATCACATCCTTATATAATGACTCCAAATATTGCCATTATCCTGTGTTTAACAGCTACTGACTATTGTTAACCTAACTTCCATAATAAATGAGACATACAAACAGTAAAAGTTATTTGTTAAGTGCATCTGAAGATCTGGATATATTTAACAAAACTGGTGAAGGCTGAGGATACCTTTCATTTAGTTTGTGTATAGTTAGAATTAGGAATAACAGGCCCTTTCATTCTGTGTCTCTCTGTCTCACACACACATACACTCACTCCAATCTTCCTTATCATTCTTGGCAGACTTATGGTGTAATTATGATCTCTCTTTCATCTCTCCACCCAGGGGATGTACAGTTGTTGCCAGTTTGAGGATGAGACAGCACCTGGAGGTGGCTCTTTGCCTCAATACCACACCATGACCACCATGTCTACTGCTGCCCAACAACACCTTGTAACAGCCACAATAAATAACACGACTGCCATTGCCATGGTGCAGCAGCAACAGCAACAGAAGCACCACCAGCAACAGGGGCCGACCTATACGACCATGCTCCCCGGATCACCGCAAACTACAGGACATTCAGCGATGGCTATGGGACCCTCAAACAGCCCCTTGCTGGAAGGCCCCATGCCCTGCTCCACCTTCTTGCCTCGCCATGACCGCAGACTAGCGGTGGTTGATCGTTGGAACAGGCCAAAGCCAGAGAAAGTCATGAGTGTTAGCAGTGGTGGAGGAGTTGGTATTGGGGGAATAGCAGGAGGGATCACTGAACTTCAGGTGCCGCAGTATCAGGCGAACCTTGGACAGCACTGGAACCCGTTAGGCGGAGTTGCAAGTGGAGCTGGGGGAGCAGGGGGAGGAGGTGACACAGGACTAGATGAATATAAGCGCTACTATGGTCCGATAGATCCAGAGGGGCTAGGGGCTAACTCTGACAAACAGGCAGGGGGACCCCAGCAGACTCCTAAAGCTAATCCTCGAGGCCCCAAAGCCTCAGGGATAACAAGGATGCCTTCTAAAGTCCCTCAACAAGGACCAGGGCACTTAATCCCCCAGCCACCTCCACTGATCCCATCTTCCCCCCGAAGACCTCCTTTCTGGCGACGAGGAAGCCTAGCACAGGCAAGGAGAAAAAGCTTTGGAGGTCCCCTGTATGAGAATATACTCCCTCTAGGGAGACGAGGAGGTGGGAGGTATGGTGCAAGTGATGGAGGTGGAAGGAGAGGGCGACGTCCTCCTGCACCTCCTCCTCTGCCTGTTCCTCTCTCCTCCCCAACACACACTCCTACTACTCCCTCCTCCCCATGCCGTTTCTACTCCTCCTGCTCCAGTGCCTCGTCATCCTCCTCTTCCGCTACGTCATCCTCATCCTCTTCTTCATCATCTGCCTCACTGTCTCGGTCGAATTCCCCCTCGTCCTGCTCCAGTGACAGCTCCTACAACTCCTCATTGAGTTTTCGGTATCGTGCTGGCGACAGGGAACTTACGGTGGATGACGATTGTGACTCAGATCTGCTCACAGAGGAGTCCAGCCTCCTTCTCGGTACACGGAGGAAGATTCGTTCTCGTCGCATGTCATCACGCTCGCTGCCGTGCAGCCCTCCACCTCCGCCAGTCCCGCCCCGCAAACCACGCACTCAGAGAGATAGCGGCAGAGAGAGCAGAGAGAGAACCGGCAGCCAACTGGCCCAATTACAGGAGTGGTGGGCATCATGGGGAGAAAGAGAGCGTGTGAGGTCAGGAACAGCAAGCCGGGGAGAAGGAGGAATGGGTAAAGAGGAAAAGAGACACCACAAAGAGAGGGAGCGTGAGAGAAAGAGGAGGAAGAAAGGCAGGAAAAAGAAGAAGAGGGAGGACAGGGAGAGAGAACGGGAGCGCAAGCGGCGCAAAGCTAAGAAAAGGAAGAAAGAGGACAAGACGAGGAAGAGAGAGCGGAAGAGGTCAGAGCAGGAGGGGGGAGATCCTGAAAAAAGAGAAGAACTCAAATCAGGGACACCAGATTACCCATCATACCCACCCTTGAGGCGAGAATCCTTTCGGAAAAAAAGTGAAAGCTCAATAAGAAGCTATGGATGGAACGTCCCAGGTGAAGAGGAGAGGAAGGAACGAGAAGAAAAAGAGAGGAATGATGGGGAAGACAGCAGAGGGAAAGAAAGACCAAACAGGAGAAGGAACAGCAAGCACTATCAAAGTTCGAGCAGTAAACCTTCGACATCTGTCAAATTCTGGGGAGGGGTCGACCCATCCTCTGACACCATTCCATCTGCCTTTCTGCCCTTGTTGCCTGTCTCCTCTAACAGGAGGAAGAGTAAAAGTTCAGACAGGGATGTTGTAGGAATTGAAGGAGAGAGGAGGCCATTGCTGGGACAGGGCGGAAGAGCTGAGATGGTTTCCAAGGAGGGGTTATCTTTCCACAAGTGGGAGTCTGGAGTAGAGGGGGAAGAAGAAGATTCCGAGCTGGAGAGGAGGAAAGCTGAACGTGGAAAGAGGCGAGGAGGAGGAAGGACAATGTCCGATGAAGAGCGAGAACGTGATAAGGTAGTCGGGATATATTCCGATGATGATGGTTCTTCAGGAGAGTTTGGGAAGTTTGAGAGGTACTGGGAGGATCATGAAGGCAGAGCGGTAGGAGGTATTGGTGGGGGAGGTTGGTTTTTTAGCACCTACCCTTCCAGGGAAAAGGCCAGCAGCATCACAAGTAGAGATGACCTGTTCTTGGAGAGAGGAGAGAGGTGGGGGACAGCAGAAAGTGGATGGGGGTCTGGTGGCGGTGGTGGAGGAGAAGGAGTAGATAGAGGGTGGGGGTCTGGATCACACTGGCCCCCGCCTCCTCTCACCCCACCACCACCCCGACGATACTGGTCGGTCGACAAACTCCACCTTCAGAATGAGAAGAAGAGTAAACGCAAGTCCAAGGACAAGGGGAGAGGGCGCGCAGGTTGTTCCTCCTGTCATTCCCCCCAACACCATCCGCTCTCCCAATCCTCCAAATGGGCCCGGGTAACCTCACGTAGTGAGGAAGAGCTGTACCGCCAGAGTTTTGGTGGCCCACTGAAGCCTAAACATGACTCCTCAGCTTCCACCAAACTTGATCGCTCACAGAATCAATCCAAATCTGGCAGCCAGTCAAACCTCAATATCCAACAGAGGACACAAAGAGCAGATAGGGATCGAGATCGAGGACGACAATCATCCCCACCTCCGAACCTCATACCGAACTTGCCACCCCCACTCCCTGCCCTTCCAGCTCCTCCGTCTTCATCTCACCCTATCCACGCTCCTCTCCCTACCTCTTCCTCTTCTGTATCCTCTCCCTCTGTGGTCTCATCAACCCCAGGGGCCCCCCAACCCTCTTCCATGGCTTCGGCAAGTGCCAAACTACAGTATCAGAGGTTGCGCTCTGTTCCCCAGCCCCAGAGGTTTCCTCAGTCTCCTCACTTACCCCTCAAAGCCAAGAGCCTTTGCTCGCGAAGGGGCTCAGCCCAGTTCTCCAGCGTGGAGAGTGAGGTGTGAATATCAAAAGTCATAAGAGCCCTGAAAGGGCTAAGGCTAAGCAGGTGATCTGGATCTGAATCTGCCCTGCAGCAAACATGGCTGCACGGCCAAGTCAGAACAGTATACGCACTGTGCCCTTTCCTAAAGCTCTGCACAAACAAACAAACCAGAAAGCCAAACAAATCCTATGCGGTAGTCAAAGGAAAACAGGAGAAATATTGTACTTACTCTTGTTTCCTTTCATTCCTCTCAGTATGTGAAAGACTACAACCACAGCAACAACTTGCATCCTGAACTGGATAATCAACCAATTACACTAAAAAGCAAATCTGACTTTAAAAGTGTTACAACTGAAAGAGACTCCTTTGCTATATACAGTGAAGGTCTTTGGATGTTGAAGCAGCGTAGTTTGTATTCTGAGGATTCTTAATGCTTACTGAGGGCTCAGGAACTTTGTAGTACTGTATACCTGCTGCTCTCGGAAGCCTTTAACACAGAACCGTGTTCTTACATTTTTCCCTGAAACAAGTCGCTTTCAACTGCTTTTCTTTTTCCTTAAGAAACTGTTTACACCCCCGCAGAACTGTGACACCCTCTGAGGCACCATTGTTGTGTTTGATCAATAACTTGTAGTTTGGAGGGAGAGGAGGGTGATAACCACCTTGTCTTCTCTGTGTTATTCACCCTTTCCTGTCTCTTTTGTTCTACCATATCTTGTTCCCCTTTATTCTGCTTTCCCCCCCCTTATTTTCACTTGCTTTCTCTTTTCTCTGCTCTACGTCCCTTTCCTTACTACCTTTTTCAAAGCTGTCTTTTCGTCTCTCTTCTCATGTCCTCTCCTGTCCTCCCCTCTTGGCTCCTGTCGTTGATGTGATGATTATGTGTGTCTGTGCTTTTCTGTGTTTGTATTCTTGACAACAGGGTAAGTCAACTGTGACTGATATTCTACTGGCTTAATGAAAGCTGAGTGCCAAACTTAAGTAGAACTCAACATCAATCTGTACAATGTTAGCTGTTTCCTTTTTATCTCGCAGTTTTTCATCATCTCCTAAATCCGCAAACATGCAAATACACACTCGCACACTTAAAGTGCACACAAACACTAGCATACATGAACATGCAAGAACAAGTGCAAGTCAATTCATATTTTCTCTTTCTAGAGCAATACATAATTCACCTTCTGTTCATGTTACAATGTTATACTTTGAAACGTTTACTTCTGTGTTGTAGTTGTTGTTGTTGTTGTTATTGATTGTTTTCTATATATCAAGACATGTATTAAGTCTCATACAATGTAAGCACTGTGCCATTCTTCTCAAGCTGCACATGAAACATTCTCTCAACTACCTAACTATGACAATGGAGGCCGTGTCTTTTCCCCTCCTTGTATTTGACTGAATGCGAAGTCAGCCACTATCACGTGTGCTGCGACAACAATTGAAACACTTGGAGATGGAAATGTAAGCATTTCTGATGGTTAGTGTGGGTGACAAATTGAAAAGATAGGAAAAGAGTTGACTTTAGTTCATTGTCGACGTAGCCGACGTAAGCAACGGTATGCTAACCTTAGCATGCTAAGTGCTCTGCTTATGAAGGATTACATCTGCAATGGGTTACAGTTTGAATTATTTTTTTGCTTTTTTTCTCCTGCAAGTATCCCAATTAGTGCCAAGAGTAGAATATACAGAAATAATTTGCCAATGAAAATTAATCTACCAAGATTTGAGTAGGAATGTGTCTAACATGCTAGGTGTAGCTACACAGCTTTGTTGGACAAGGTGAAAGATTGTTGCAGGGAAATAAATACGTATAGCCTTATGCTTGTTGCTCCTGTCATATGTTTTGTGTAAAGTATGAAGGTTTGTGCTTTGATCAACATGTATGTGGTTAGCTTCATGCTATGAAGACAGTGTGATTGGAAAAGGGAGCGTTTTGATTGGTGCCATATCAGATGTAGTGCAAATGCCGTTTTGATGTCAAAGAGACCGTGCCTATGTTGAATGGTAGCTATAGCAGATGGTTTTGAAGAGGTTTGACTGATGGTGTATGAAAGACACAGTATCACCTCCTGTGCATTTTTCTGAATCATTTATCTTATCCGGTAAATGTGTCACTAAGAGCTATAGCTTTTTAATCCATGACCGAACTGACACCAGCAGTTACACTCAGATGTAAAGATCTTAGCTATAGTAGCTATTAATATCCATTAACATTCAAATTGCATCAGGACACTGGACATCAGTGGAGTTTTTTAATGGAGAGGCCTGCACTTCTGGCACAACACTGTGTGTGTTTTTCAGTCGGTTATAGTCCATCTATCCATTACCAGTTTGGTCAGCTCTTGTTTGCCTGGAACTGCATCTGAGCCATAATTTACTTCAGCTGAAGAAACAAAATGAGAACTTAAGTTTTAAACATAAACTTGTTTTGTTTTTGTTTGCCTTTAAAAAAAAAAAAAAAAACTATACATATATTTATCATATATATATATATGTGTATTTGTGGCAGTGGTTAGTGTTAAGAGAAAATTGTTGTTCAGCATCTTGATATTTTGGGATATGTTTTGTCATTCCAAGTCCATTGAAATAATAATATAAATATCATGAGTTAAAAACACACATGCTCTCATATTTACTAACAACAGGGAAATTATTATCAATTGAGTTTCTTTGACAAAGTTTGACTGTATTAAGCCAAGTTGGAGGCAGTTCAGTGCTTTGCTTATTCCAAACAGCAAATAACAAGCTTATACAACTTTCAATGAAAGCAAGAAGTGTTTAGTAGCGTGAGTAAGTGTGACATGTTTCAGTGCATTCACACCGCAAGCAACTCAAGTCTGTTGTCTCAAGTACAAACAATCTCTGCGACCTAAAATCAAGTTAAAATCTTTCAAGAAGATTTGTGTTGCAGTTCCTTTTGCTGAAACACTACAGCAACAGTGAACAAGCATGTTTGGCACGTCCAACCTACGAAGCTAATGATGCAGGTATGGTTAGTCGAAGTCCATTGTCCCAGGCATAAAATGTACACTTACCACCATGTTATTGTACTTATGTGCAGAGCATAAGCTGCTAGCGGTGTGAACACAAAGCTTGGTTGTTTCCTCAGAGAAACGAGCCACCTTTATGTCCTTCTCCCCCCTTGCCTCTTTTTTTCTCATGTCTTTCCACTGTGTTGTTGCGTGTCTGCAATTGTAAAGCTGGTCTGTTTTTAAAAAAAAGAAGAAGAGTATATGTGGATATATTTATTTCATCAAAAAAAAAAAGAGCATATCTAAATATATATGATAGTATATTTCAAAGCACTAAGAGCTATGTTATTTAAGTTTGTCTACTAAATTTTCGGTATTATCTCAATCAATATGTATTTTTTGTCTGTTTGTCTGTCTCTCCTTGTCTCAAACCTCCTTCCCAGCTCCCTACCCCCCAGCGAAAACAGAGACCAGTATGTAACTGTGTTTTTGCTCTCTTAAGACCAACCATTCACCTCCATTGGCTATCTACTGTAGCTGACGCTGAGATTTCAACAAAGTGACCGAGTGGAGGACTGCACGAGTGTCTTATGACCGTGTCACTGTAGCAGTGGTGGCGTGTCTTTGTCTACCTAGAGGGGCCTTTATTTTGGTGGGGGCTACGGATTAACAACTAATTAAACCTTTTATGGATACAGCAGCTTTTACCACAACTCTCACATATGTAAGAGTCACTTTCTCAACCCTGTTTTGGGTTTACATTGGACCCTAGAGTTTTTACCGCAGAGTAGAGTAAGGTGACCTCTTTGAAACACAATGTAGCGAGCAGCACAGGCTTTTTATTTGCATCTCTTAGTAGCTGTAATACTATACAAAAACTTGCACAGCTACCCCTGCCGACCAACTTATACAGTATACATAAGGACTTTGATATACGTAAATAGTGTGTTGTATCTGCCAAGCTGCTGTGCTGTAAACAAAAGAGAAAAAAAAGATTATATAAAATTATACACAACAGACACACTGTTTCTTTCTTAATTTTACAAAACTGGTTAAAAGTTAATCTGCTTGCTAGTATGGTTTCCACTAAGGCCAAAAATGGCCTAACCAGGGCTTTCTTTTTATTATCACATCTTCAAACGTTTCGCCACTTTTATTCCTGAATAAACAACAATGATCCTGCACACATCATTGAGTGGAACATGGAAACACTGCCTGAGATAAGAGATCCATCCTCCTGTCCAACCATTGCTTGCTTATGATACATTGATAAGTCAGTATGGTCAAAGATGAATAATTCTTCAACAATTACATATGAAGCACTTACTGGCCCTGAGCCCTGGTAAGACCAGTTTTAGCCTGCAGTGGAAACACATCCACAGTTTCTGCCTGTTACACCTCTGAACAATGTCTCAAGGCCTTGTATTAATACTGCTGTATTGACTGTACGGGATGATGGCTAGTGGTGCAACACTTTATTGTCATAACCTCTCACAGGCACATTAAACACACAAACATGCATACACTGTCAGATTTACATGGGCACACGCACACAGACATACACACAGGTTAGGGTGGTAGTGCTGCTACCCCTCCGATTCAGCCTTCTGCCACCTGTCGGGACAATTTTGACAATATTGTGCTGCACTGCAAGCAGGAAATAAATTAAAAAAGATGATTTTAATAAAGAACTAAAACAAATGCCTGGTATTTATTTTGGTTGTGTGAATGTGTCTACAAATATTAACACTGTTGTGATACTATTATTTTAAGATGCAAGGAATATAGCTCACGGTCCTAAAGAATAACAACTGTTTGCAAGCGGAAGAAATAAATAAGTATTTTAGTGGTTGACCACCAAAGGAACAAGACACCGGACAGAATATTGTGCATGATGCCAGGATGCTTGTATAGTTTTTTTCGAACCCAGTTAACCACGGCCACTTTCCGCACCCTAAGTCTGTGGGACTATGTCATGGATGGATAAAGAGAATGTCTACTCTAGTTTGGGACCAAAAAGAAATGGATCAGTTCAATCAATTAAGTG